AATAAATACCAAATTATCAGAGAGATAATTTGTGTACATCCTTTACCTCTATATATGTATCTATCTCTTTTTAAAGAAGAAATCATACCTGTACGTACATCGTGAAAATCTTTAAATAATGAAACAATTTGAAAAAGCTTTTGATAAAATTGATTTGTATTATCTGATATAAAGTGCTGAGTATCTTGTTTTAGTAATGTTTATATCTAAGTAATAAAAATATTATGAACATGTAATGTATTATGTAGGTGTAATATATGTATATTTATATGTACAAAGATGTGTATATTAACATATATACATAGACGTATAAAATATGCACTAAAAAGGAAGTGCAATTATAGGCGGGCTTTTATTTATAACGAGATGACGCCGCTTCGTTGCACAACTCCAGAGGGCACCATACATTTAGACTCTGATGACTAATGCGGCACGAGAGTGAATATTTAACGATAAAAGATCAAGATGGCCTCATCAGGTCCTCTGGCTAAATTTCACAGGTAAGCGTTTTGAAATTGAGAAAAACATGGTTATTAGGTAAAAAAAACCAAAAAAACAAAAAAAAACAAAAAAAACCCAAGCCATTTCATTTCTTCTAGTGAAAAACGAGCAGGAAGAAATAAAGTCTTTGAAAACGGCTACGGAGGAAAACGCGTCTACCCAGTTTGCCAACTATGAGACGCCGTGGACATTCCAAGATAGCAGAGTCGCGGTGCCTCCTGGGAGTTGTAGTGCAGCCGCCGCCTTCTGTGCAGCAATCTGGGCTGCTCGAGACTTCCCTTCCCGTCAGGCCGCGCGCCGAGGCTGCCGGCGGGAGTGGATCTGCTGCTCTGGCTACGGGAGAGTGACCCTGTGAGCATTGGGTCTTGTCGTGGCGATGGCCTCGTTCGTGACAGAAGTTCTGGCACACACGGGGAGTCTGGAGAAGGAGGATCTGGGCACTCGGATCAGCCATCTGACTCGGCGGGTGGAGGAAATCAAGGTATAGATGGGGCAGCCGCTGACTTACTGAAAAAGGGACGCGGGCTCCTTGTGCGACCGGACGGAGGGGAGTGAGGGGCTAAGGGCAGAAGAAGTGGGTACGAGCGGTCAGGTGTGGGGCTGGGTAGGAAGAATTAGGAAAGTCTGTGGATTGATGAAGAAGCTTGGAGGGAGCCCAGACAGGGCTTGGGAACTGAGGAGGCGAGGAGGCCTGGGGCAGTGGGTCGGAAGAGGCGGTGGCTGGGGGAATGTTGGGAGGTGGGATTAAGTATGGGAGGAATGGAGTAGGGGAACTAGGAGGGAGACTAAGTAGTGACCAGCGGAGCCTGGAAGGTGGGACTGGAAACCCCAAGGTAATCGGGGGGACTATACGAGACGCGTAGAATTTAGGATAGGACTCTCTCCAATCTGTGAGTGTTTTTTATTTCCTCCGCTCACTCCTCTTTGTACGATTTGTTGACGAATATAATAGCTTTGAGAGGATTGTACCATTCTCCTCCCTGAAATTTTTGTTAAAACCTATCAATATGTTTAGTAAACTCTATTCTCCATCCCCAGGCCCCTGAAGCTGTGCTGAGCATTACAAAACACGTGAATGGCACTTTTGTGGACCCTGTTTTCTTGAGATTGATACAGAGAAAAAAGGGCACATAGCCACACAGTTTCACTTTGTACTGCTGTTATCACCTTGCCAGCATTTGCCCACATCTTTGTTGCTTTCGTTTAAAATTATGTGTACCGCCTATGTCTGGATTTAAGGGAGCAAATTTGGCATTGTACCATCAAGCACAAAAATGGTTTTATTTTTACAAAAATGATTTCCTAAATTTTAAGTATTCATGTCACTGGTATTGCTTCTTTAATATGGCTTTAGAATTTACCACCACTTTTTATGTAAGGGAAAGAAGGCAGACAAGCTACTTTAGCATGGATCCTATGTGTTCTGGACCTCACATACCTTTTTTTTCACTAGTTTCTTTTTCTAAGGTGAATCTTCAGCCAATTGAAAATTATTTTTTATACTCCAGGCAGGCCCACTTTTCTCTTAGTTCTCAGATTTTGCTTATGTTATCATTTCTCCATCTTTTACCTATAGTATTTCCACCCATTTTTCAAGTGCCATATCAAATGTAGTTTCCTGCATGAAAAATAGCCTCACTTTTCCCTTAGGCAGAGGTGATCTCTTTTTCATTTGTGCTCCTGGAAGCAATTAACTCTGTTGCTGTATTACATTTCTATATTCTAGTTACATATGTGTACTATCTTTCCTATCTAAAAGGAATTTATTTGTGGGAAAGTGTAGTTTATTTTTGTATCTTCCAAAGCATTGATTAATTCAGTGCAAATTATTCAATAATTTATTTATTTAATTACTTTGAATTAAAAGAGATGATGAAACTTGTCAGTTTAGGGTTATATTAGGCCTTAAGCTAGAAATCCATAAATTGATTGAGGTATACAGATTATAGATTTAAATTATCCATTTGCTTTCTTTTCCATTAGATTTATGCTTAAAATTGTGGCTGTAGTCTGAGCTTATATAGTTCAGTATGAGAACTTACGGCTCTGCCTTTCTCTCTTCCAGAATTTGTACCACTCTTGGGCACTGTTGAGGTCTGGTAATCATTGTCTTCTTGCCCCCTAATGTTATACCACCTTTAATGGTGGGAGATATGTGTTTTTCAAAGAAACCCATTGGCTTCAAGAGAAAGTGAATGGGTGTGGGTAACTGGCAAGAAGGCTCCAACATAGAAGATGCCTGATGAAAGATGAACTGTATATTTTTAACAGAGTTCCCTATTCATCTCATTGTAATTTTTCTGTCTTACAGGGTGAGGTGTGCAGTATGATCAGCAAGAAGTACAGTGAATTCTTGCCTAGCATGCAAAGTGCACAGGACCTTGTTACACAAGTGGACAAGCTATCTGATGACATTGACCAGCTGAAATCCAGGATAGAGAGTGAGGTAAGAATAGTTATATTGGTAGGTTTGTAGGGAGGCAGTTCAGTTTCCTCATTCCGAAGACACTTCAGTTCCATACAACTTTTCAAGGCCTCACTTTCCTTATTGGTGAATGGAAGTTGAATTAGATGACTTTAGTGTGACTTCCAACTTTAAAATAGAGATATTTTGGATGTAAGAGTGATCTGGCTGTGACGTCTGTTCTGTTGATCGCCAGGGTTGATTCAGCTGATCTGGCTGGCTAGGTGGGTGTCCCCTTCCTCTCTCACTGCTCCATGTGTGTCCCTCCTGAAGCTGTGCTCATGATTGAAGTGGACGACCTTCTCCGATAGAGAAGAGGACTGTTCTTCAGTCAAGGATATACGAGTAGCTGTGCTCCCCTGCTAGAACCTCCAAACAAGCTCTCAAGGTCCATTTGTAGATAGAATGTAGGGTAGTCAAGCTTCCAAAACTCCAGTCACATCCAAATGAGGTACCACTGCATGAGGCAGTCTGCCTTTCAAAAAGAAAAAAATAAAAAATAAAAAAAATGAAATAGAGATATTTTCCAAAAATATTATGTAAACAATTTTTTTATGGTAAAGTTTTTTAGCTATAATAATAATGTGTTGCATTTGAGTAGCACTTCATACATTTAAAAAAAAAATAACCTCAGGATTTTATTGTCTTCATAATAAAATAAAAATAGATGAAGCTTAGGACTGGATAATTTGGCCTTTTCTCTTGTTGCTTCTTAGTTCACAATGTTTGTATCTGTTAATGGCCAGCATTCTCTTACATCTATAGCTGGCTTCAACACATCCAAGCTTCAGCATAGTCTTTGTCTTTTGGCCTTCTGGAAAATTGTCTCTTTATCCATCACAGCCACTCTACTTCTTGTCACTCTGTGGGGCTAGTGCTTGCTGTACTTCTTATGGAAAGTTTGGCAGGTTTTAAGAATGTTTACTACATTTGCAGAGTGCCATCATCAAAATAAGAAGTAAGCCAGTCTGAAAACAGAAGTAGCTGTTTTATAATTTTGAAAACATTTTCACATATCTTTTCTCACCAAGAGTTTTCCCTTGCAGCTTTAGGAAAATTAAGCAGTTGAAAGAAATCAAGTTGATATTAGAAGTGTAAACAAAGTCTAATCTTAGGTGTCTTCTACATCTATTTCTAAGTTATTCAGGGCTCAGTCATATCCAAAATCAAGATGTTGAGCTTTGCTCAAGGTCCTTAAGGAAAGACACCAAAACTCTTTTCTTTGCGATAGTTAACTTAAAAAGGAAAATGAACAAATGTGTTTTCAAAAGTTTCCTATAAAACTTGAATCGTAGGTGGGGAAACCACTAGTTGCCTAGAAAATCTATTTAACAGTCAGTTTACCAGTCATTCTAATTAGAGGTTTTAATAACAATAAATCTGTTACTCTACATTCTGGCTCAGTTCAAATATTTTTAATGTTGTATTTGTTTGATCAGTGAGTCAATAGTGCAGTCTTTGACTGTACTATTAGAAATGAAGTGTCTGGAACAAGAGAGTAATGGGCTCTGTATATTTTTCTGGCCAGATTATGGCTGGTGAAATTTATTTAGTTCTGGTTGTTGTATTTTGAAAGACGGCTGGTCTAGATGAAAAGGTCCAGGCTTGAACACTGTACCATCTAAAGAACAATGAAAAAAACAGAGTCTTTAGCCTTAGTTAAAAATACTTTCAAGATCTGAAGCCCTGTCATATGGGAGAAAGAATCAAATTATGGCTAGATAAGGGGAATTAGATTCACTAGGTGGATATTATAAAGGGATTTATTCAGTTATTTGGTGTATTGAACACCTATTTATAAGATGCTGGACACTGATAGTTGCAGAACTAAACAGTTTTTTATTTCAAAATGTGGATTTCATGCCTGTTGTAGGTGAGTGGAATAGCGTGATACATACTAAATAGGAATAATCTAGTTAGAAAGAGGAGATGTAGCTAAAGATGGCTTCCTGTAGGAAGTAGTGTCCAAACCAAAACCTGAAATGATAGGTAATTAGGCATAGGAGGAGGGAAGAGTGTTTTAGGTAGGCGTAGAGGACAGCATTACAGAGGCATGGAGATAATGGGGAGATGCCACTTTTGGAGAGCTTCAAGTGTTCCCTGTGACTATGCTTAGAGAGTGGTGGGAAAGGACATGAGATGAGATTAGAAAGGTAAGCAAGGACCTTGTGTATCAATTTAAGTAGCATGGATGTTGCTTTGATGACACTGTGGAAGCCATGGAGGATTTTAAGCAAGAGAGTGACATCAGATTTGAATTCTAGGAATCCCATTTTGCTTGCAGTTCGAAGAAATGAGAAGGCAATTAAAGCAATAGGAGGCAGTTAAAGTAATCAGGCAAGACAGGACCGTGACCTACTCTAAAGTCAGTAGCAGTGGAGATGGAGAAAAGTGGGTGCATCATAGTGACATTTAAGACATAAGATCTTTAGGACTTTTTGATGCGTGGAGTGAAAGATGAAGGAATCAAGGATAACTGGGGAACTCAGCCACTGGTGTGCCATTCATTGAAGTAGAGAATATAGAGAAGGAGTAGGTTTTTGTGGGGGAAATGATTTTAAATATGGGTGCCTAAGGAATATCCAAATAGAGCTGTGCAGTTGGATTGTATTAAGATGAAGGCTAGACTGTTGTAAAGAAAGGGGTTGGCAGTGGGGGTGGGAAGTGGGGGGGTGGGGGAGGGGGTGAGGAAGGAGGTGGGGAGAGGTGGGGAGAGAGATTGCTCGAGAGAGGGAGTGAGTGAACTTGAAATGCAACGGCTCAAACAAGATAACATCGTAGTGGTTTAGGCTGTCAGGCTGATTCTACAACCTGAGATCTACTTCCCTGGTATAGTCTGTCGAGAACCGGGAAGGGGATCTGAGATTTTTTTTTTAACCTATCTGCAAATCAGCAAGTTACCTTGACAGTTTCATGGCTGTGGGTGAGAGATGAAGGACAGTTTATTATTCACAGCAGTAGCCACAGTATGAACATTTTTGCACAGTACCCCGATCCCTAATTCCTAAGGGCCAGTGCGCAGTTATAGAAGAAAACTCCTGAGTTTAAGGGACCTGAATCTCATAATGAGTAGTAAGCATGCCTGGAGGGAAACACCATCTCTGTTTTCCAAGCTGTTTACTACACAAACATCCTTGAAAAGATAGTCCAGAACTAAAGACAGTCATTGCTTCCTTTGCAAGACAGTACAGAAATGTGAGACTCATAAAGAATTGTCTTCCAGCGGTTTGTAGAGCAGCAGAATTGCCAACACCTGGTGGCTTGTTAGAGGTGGAGGCTCTTGGGCCCCATCCCAGACTTACTGAATCAGAGCCTATGCTTTAATAAGATTCACTAGGTGTTATGCATGTATGTTACAGTTTGAGAAGCACTGCTGTAGGATTTTCTTTGCATGGTTGAAATTAGTCTCTCCCCATGTTCAGATTATAGCTGGAGGTTAAGGGCAAAGAGAGGGTACAGAGGAGGCACATCTGTTTTCTTAGGATTCAGACTTGGAAATAATGCATACCACTTCTGCTTAAATGCCATTGGTGAGATCTTAGACACTAGTCAGATCTAATTGTGAGGGAAGCTAGAATATAGTCTAGTTGGGTAGCCATGTGGTGTTACTGTGGGAGAGTCAGAGAACGGATTTCAGTGAACAGTTTGCATATCACCCCATCCATGTACATGTTTGGAGGTTAGGAAAGTGATGTGGACTTGAGTTAGCAGCACTTAGAAACTGAAGCCCTGGGAATGGATGAGCTTGCCCAGAGGGTGTGAATAGAGCAGAATTTCTCAACCTATGCACTGTCGATATTTGGAGCTGGGTACTTCTTTGCTGTGGAGGCTGTCCTGTACATTGTAAGATGTTTAGCAGTATCCCTGCCTCTATTCACTATATACCAAACTCCTTCAGTTGTGACAAGTCTAAATGTTCCTGGAAGGATGTCGGGCGAAAAAGCCTTATTTTTTGGAAACCAGTGGTTCAGAATAAGAAGGGGGCCAGGAAGAAAGGAATATCAGTATTTATGAAGTGGGAAAATGAAGCTCCTAAAATAAAATGAAAAGGAATGGCCAAAGAAAAGGAGGAAAATCAGTAAGTAGAGAATGGTGTTATAGAGTGAAGGGAAGGTAAGTATCAGCGTACTGAAATAGTTAAATATTGATGATATATGCTTTGGATTTAGCAACAAGGAGCTGATTGGTGTTTTTGGCACCAGCTGTTTGGAATAGTTTTGATGGAATGGTAGGGGTAGAAACCAGATCACAGTGTGTTATAGAATGAATGAGGAGTGAAAAAGAACAGACAGTGAGTCTGGATTACTCTCGCAAGAAACTTGTTTGTGCGCCGGAGAGAAATAAGGTAGCTACTAAGGAATAGGGTGGTTGCTGAGGTAAAAGAAATTTTTCTTAAAGGTGGGGGTAATTTTAACACATTTAAATTTGATGGGAAGAGCCATGCTTTAGTGAAAGTATTCCATCAGTATAACTTTCATGAATGAAGAATGAAAAAGAGGGAGGTAAAAGATATAGAGGGGAAGAAATAATTATAATACAAAGTCCCTGAAAAGGTGCGACAGAACAGGAGGTAGATTCTGACTCAGCATAAAATCTTTCTAATAGTTAGAGCTATCCAATTGTAGAATGAGTTGGCAATGGGGAAACCCTTCTAGTAATCCAGGTGGATGAACTCTGGTGAAAGATAACTGCTTAAACTAAGACTAGGTGGTGACATGAGGATATTATGTTG